AAATCATGAATAAATAATATGCAAACATGCATTGCAACGTCAAAATGGAACTTCAGACAACAACTTATCACATACGCGAGTGCGTGAAAAGTCATCGTAAAATCGATCTGAAATGGTACCGATAACTACCAAACTTACCAACAAGCTCAAATAAACCATAACTGTGAATTAAATTGCTTTGCAAGTGCTACTTACCATTCTTGGGCAGCAACTCCGTTAATACATGAAACACACAAAAATTCGATCCGAAATCGACACAACTTAATGCACATGTCCAAGAGATACCAAGGCAAGTGCAATAGTGCATAAACCAACACTTAAAACACATTTGAAGATCAATTTATAAAATTGGGCAGCACTACGTACACGCCATGAAATTATCCGGAAAACACACTGAAATCGTGCAAACTCAACAACAATCATTAACAAATGCATAATTAAGCATAAACATGCATCAAATGAATATCAAAATACAATGTACATGTTAAAATATAATCCAGACAACATTGTTTCCATTTATCAAGTGCACAAAAAGTTGTCTCAAAATTCAACTAAAATGATATCAATGCTTCTCAATCAACCGATTAAAGCCAAATACCCATTAAGCGCGAATTAAATATCAAACCAAGTGCATTTGAAAAATTTGGGAAGCACTACACTGTATCACAAAGTTGCTCGGAAAATTGTACTGGAAACGATTAAATTCAACCGTGATAGTTCACAAACATGCAATTATGCATGAATAAACATCAAACGAATTTTAGAAAGCATTTTGCAACATATTTACACTTTTCGGGCAGCAATACGTACTTGAATTAATATTGATCAAAACTGATGTCAACAATTGAAAACGGACGCAAAAACACATTTATCGGTTCAAGTACTATCGCTAAGAAATTGTAAACGAGTTACAAATGATTAACTCACATCTAAACACAAGTTTTTTTTATCACAAACAACATAATTCATGAGTTGACACAATTAATTGAGTCAAACATTTTAATGTCGGAAAAAATATGAGTCACCGTTTAATTCAACTCAAACTATGTCAACTCATGAACTCAATATTATTTCTCAACAAAATTCAATCGGAAACAAAATCGACGCACAAATTCAATTGAACATCAACAACACAAATTATTCGACGCACAAGAATTATCGAATCCACATAATTATCACCAATTCAACAAAGATTCATCCAACTCCATATTTATTCATCATCATCAACATAAATTCAACTCCAATTTCAAGATATAAATTCAATTCAACTCATAAAACTCAATTCAAGTTTATATTAATTCCTCAATTTCATAACAATCATCTCAAGAACTTAATTCAAGCGAAGTTACGATGAATTACAGATTGGAAGCAAAGAGGAGAAGATGATGTTGTCAGAATCACAAAATCGGAGGGAGGAAGCAGTCCGAAACCGCGACGGAGATGACATAGGAGAGTTTGCGCGAAGGAGAAAGATGCGACAGAGGGAGTTACAGAGGATGACTCGTCGGTAATGCGCAGCCGGATCAGAGACAGGTATTGGCCGAAGAAATTGGTGGTGGTTGTTTGCGAAATTGATTGAGGAAAATGAAGATTATACAAGTTTTTGTGATTTTTGTTGTTGGTGTTCTTGATGAAATTGAAGAGGTAGTTGAGAGAATATGAGAAAAAATGTGTTTTGATTTTTGAAAGATATGAAATTGTGAGTGTAATTGTGTTTGAAAATTTTAAATTTTAAATATATAGTTTGGTTCCGAAACTTAAATTTTCAACTTATTTCGTGCATAGTGCGAGATCAAACCCCAAGCTCATTACAATCGGTGCAAAATCCTGACGCGCGACTTGAAACAAAGATGTCGATGACGAAATTTGTGACGCGGTGCCGAAAGAATCATCTTGATACGATAAAAATTGAGCAAGTTATGTTACCCTGAACGGCGAGAAACGCAATGTAAAAATTCACAGTGCAAAATTTTACAGCTTATTTTGTGTACGAAGCGCGAACAAACCACAAGCTCGTGATGTTCGGTGCAAAATCTCGACGCAAACCTTGAAGCAAAATCATAGGCGATGAAATTTGTGACGTCGTGCCGAAAGAATCACCCTGATACGATAAAAATCAAACAAGTTATGATTTTTCGAATGGTAAGAAACAGTGGACTTATTTCACCGTATTGGAAATTTCAGCTTATTTATGTGCGCACTTTTGGATGCGAGCCATAAACCGAAGTCTTCGGAGTTCAATCTGGACTCGGGCCCTGAAGCAAAGTTGAAGCTTATGAAATTTTTGATCTCACGCTTCAAGAATCATTCTGATACAATAAAAATCGAGAGAGTTGTGATTTTTACAATATCGAGAAATAGTCTAGTAAAAACAATTTTTGGCATGCAATTTTCTCTTGTAATTGACACTTTTGCAAATCTTCTGCAAAGAATTAGCTCATGACCCGAACATACGAATCAAAGATAAAATCAAGAAGAATTTTTGGCCCAAAGAACCATCTGAAAATGTTAAATTAGACGAAAGTTATGAATTTTTGAACATCTGAAAAACAGCGGTTCAACACACTATTTCCCCTATTTTTTCACTGTATAGCTTCTAAACACTCACGTATTCGGAGATCTTCCTCAATGAATTAGCTTCCGAGCCGAACACGAAAATTGAAGGAAGTAACAAGACAGTTTAAATGCTCCAAGAGTCACTCTAAGATGATTTTTCAGTCTGAAGTTATGAAGTTTTAAGCATCCGAAAACTAGTGAAATGGTAAATCCATTATATAACGCATTTCAAGCATTTTTTACTTTTGAAAATCTTCCTCACAAAATTAGCCTTCGACATGAACAGATAAGATGAAGAGGACCTCAAGATCGTTCTAATGATTGAAGAATCATTCCCAAACTATTTTCTAATATCAAATTATGAATTTTTGAGCTTAAAACGCACAATACTGAATTGCTGTCTGCACTGTCTCAAATCAAATGAAACGCTAAACTTTCTACACAATCAATACGTATTGAAACGCATAAGAGCTTAATATAATAATAACTTGATTAATCTTTGGTTAGATAGCTTGGAACTCAATTGATTTCTTTTCAATCAAAATTTATCTTTTATATTTATAAATGACTTTAATTTTGATACTTTTTCTTTCCCATAATTCCCACTTATACCCGTTCTGTCATTAACTTCTTTCCTTAATAAAATTTCTTCCTCGAGCGCTACAAAATCTCCATCCTCAGACTTTTCCACTTCTTATATTAATTGCCAAAAAATTTCATCATTAATATTGTTAATTTATTGAAATACCAAACCAAACCATATTAAATCCAAAAATTCCAACAAATTCATAAAAATTTATTGAAATGCCTATCCATCAAAATGGAAATAAATGACTCTATTCCAAAATTAATCAACCTCTCAAACTTGTCAAACTAGTAGCACAAGTACATCAATATAACCCCACTTGTCCTCTTGTTAAAGAAAAAGACAATCACAGACGCTCCCTCCAATCACAATACAGATTCCACAACCCAACAAACAGTGGCATTTCCGTAATTCCATCACAAAAACAATGTCAAACATATACAAATTCAAAACCAGAACATCCAACACATCTTCATGATAAAATCTGTCTACTTCACACGTGTGATTTGTCAACCATTTTCAAAAGCATCATTACCCGACCCCACTTTACACGTGTCAGTTTTCTTCACCACCTACCTAGGTAACGTAAGATAAAACATTAAAATAATCCTTAGCATTTTCAAATTTTAACCAATCCCAACGGTAACGTTTGCTGTCTTAAAACAATCTCAACCGTCCATTCACTGATTCTGATCAATCTTTAACCACCCATCTAGCCCGAATCTCACTTTCACTTCCATTTTATAGAGAGAATGAAAAAGTTCAATTTTTGAATAATGGGTTGTGCTGTGTTGTTTCAGTTTTCATTTGGATGTATCCTTTTGTTGTCTGATAATCAATTATGATACAAAAGACGTTTCAGATTCTCATATAGTAAAAGTTGCGGTTTTGATGTAAAATCAACCTCTATCTTTGATTGATGAATTTGGAAGCATTTGCATTTGAAAAAGTAAATCTTATAAACTGAGTTTTGAAAGCAAAGTTTTTGAAGGTTGGTGAAGTGCTCTCTCTGTGTATCTTTGACTGTGACAACAAGTTTGAAGATTAAGCTACAAAAGCTTGTGTTTCTTAGTTACACACATTCTTAAAGGTTGGTACTTCAGTTTTTGTTTTTTAATTTGTTTTTTGAATACAGCTTGTTGTAGAGACTTATGTTTATGTGTCTTCCCTTCAAAGTAAGGCTTCTTCTTTTTGCATATTGGTAATAATTTCTATGAGGAGAAATTTGTAAAAACACATTAGCAACTATACTTTTCAGCAGCTTCTTTTGTAGAAGCATGAATCTAGGACTTTTACATTAACTATGATACTCTTTCCACCAACCTTCTAGAGTTGTTTCAATTACTAAAATATCCTTGTAAAGTAACTATTATTACAAATTTTTAAGGGTTAATGATTTAGATTTGTATTAATAATATCCACCGACAGCTACTTAATGGAAATAATGTATTGCTATTGTTAGTAGTTACACGCCAATTCATTCATTTCCATCGATAGCCATTCTCATAAACCATGCTTTATCTTTCATATCATAATTTAATACATGTTTTGGAAATTGTCATAATTTTAAATCACACTACAATTGCTATCTGATATGCCATATCAGTAATATTGCGGATGTAATTGTAATTCAAATTTTATGGTCAAGTCGTCATGTTAGTAAATAAACAAGTTTCTTATGATAACAACTGCTCCACAACCTTTTTCATTTTCTATATACTAACAAATTAGTATCAATTTGCTTTTCTACCAATTGGTATCTTGATTTGGTCATTTCTTTGAGCTTAATTTTCTTCTATTTACAGCTTTGTTGATCATATAATCATTTCCACAACACTACTTCAACAATTTACAAATCATGGTGGAAGATAGTACAGTTGATACATGTTCAACAGAAGAATGGTTGTTGAATTCACAAGAACTTGTTCCTATTGCTGTTACTAAAGCAAAAGAGGTGAAAGGGTTTCTAGGTAGATGGAAAATGATCATTTCGAAATTGGAACAAGTTCCGTCGAAGCTATCAGATTTATCTAGCCACCCTTGTTTTTCAAAGAATGCTCTTTGCAAGGAACAATTGCAGGCTGTGTCGAAGACGTTAAGAGAAGCTATTGAATTAGCTGAGTTGTGTTTGAAGGAAAAGTATGAAGGTAAATTGAGGATGCAAAGTGATCTCGACGCGTTGATTGGAAAACTTGATTTGAATTTGAAGGATTGTAGCTTGTTGACAAAAAGTGGTGTACTTGGTGAAGCTACTTTGCAGTTCAATGTTTCTGGTATTATAGCGGAATCTGATATTGCGACACATGGAAATATAAAGGAATTACTCGCACGGCTACAAATCGGTCATTTGGAGTCGAAACACAAAGCTTTGGATAGATTACATGAGATTATGAAAGATGATGAGAAGAATGTTTTGGCTGTTTTTTGTAGGAGCAATGTTGCTGCTTTGGTTCAGTTGCTTACGGCAACATCACCGAGGATTAGGGAGAAAACGGTTAGTATTATATGCTCGATTGTGGAATCGGGTAGTAGCTGCGAAAACTGGTTAGTTACTGAGGGTGTTTTGCCACCTCTTATAAGGCTTGTTGAATCTGGTAGTGCTGTTGGTAAAGAAAAGGCTATTGTATCTCTTCAAAGGCTATCGATTTCGGAGGAAACAGCTCGCGCGACCGTCGGACACGGAGGGGTTCGTCCGTTAATCGAGCTTTGTCAGGTAGGTGATTCTGTTACACAGGCGGCGGCAGCTTGTACTTTGAAGAATATTTCGGTTGTTCCAGAAGTGAGACAGGTTTTAGCCGAAGAAGGTGTTGTTCGGGTTATGATCAATCTCCTCAACAACGGAATGCTGTTAGGCACGAAAGAGTATGCTGCTGAGTGTTTGCAGAATCTCACTGCAAGCAATGAGAATCTGAGAAGGTCCGTTATATCAGAAAACGGCATTAGAAGCCTTTTGGCTTTTCTCGATGCTCCAGTTCCTCAAGAATCGGCTGTAGGCGCGTTGAAGAATCTCGTCGGATTGGTTTCCGAAGAAACTTTGGTTTCTCTCGGAGTTCTTTCTTGTCTGGTCCATATTTTGAAGTCAGGATCATTAGGCGCGAAACAAAACGCAGCCTCGGTTATATGCAGGATTTGCAGCTCGATCGAGATGAAGAAAATGCTAGGTGAAGTCGGTTGCATACCTCTATTGATCAACATGCTTGAGGCGAAAGCAAACACTGCTAGAGAACTTGCAGCACAAGCAATTGCGAGTTTGATGATTCTGTCGCAGAATAGGCGAGAAGTTAAAAAGGACGTTAAAAGCGTGCCGAGTTTGGTACAGTTGCTTGATCCTAGTCCACAGAATACTGCAAAAAAGTATGCAGTTTGTTGTCTAGGATCACTTTCTTCATGTAAGAAGTGTAAGAAGTTGATGATTTCTTATGGAGCAATAGGGTATTTGAAGAAGCTTATTGAGATGGAGATTCCAGGAGCTAAAAAGTTGCTTGAGAGATTGGAAAGAGGGAAATTGAGAAGCTTGTTTAGCAGAAAATAAGAGGAAAAACAACTTTTCCATGTTTGTTGCAACTGTTTTATTTATTTATTTTTGTATCATGAAGCTTTTTCTTTGTTATCACTTTTGTTTTTATCAATGTTGTTTCATTGTCTGAATGAAACAAGTAGCTTCGAATGTAAAAAACTATCAAATGCAACAAAAAAAAGATGCACTTGCAATCACTATTGATGTTTAAATGTACCATGTAATTTAATTTATTTATTGTTTGGCTTTCGCATTATGGTTTTCAGGGAAAGTCAACAATTCGAATTAGATATTTCTCGGACTGCGTCTATAGCATGAGCTTCTTTACTATTGGAGTGTAATACTTGATTTACTCTGGACTTTAATCACTAAAAATTACTTTATTAGTCTCATACTAAGTATAATTAATATCATAAATGAAGTTCTATTTAGTAAAATATGAGGATATTCTAAATAGCCTCAACAAAAACCATATCTTTTTTCAAGCTCTTGGATAAATCATACTCCTCAACAAATATTGTATTTTAGCATAAAAAGAATTTTTTTTAGAAATAACTATATTTTGAAAAAAAACACACAAATAATCAATGTTTCGGAGAAAATTATATAAATTGTCATGTTTCATAATACACTTAAACAGAGGAGTCAATCGAGATGGCGCATCTCTTACTTTTTATATGGAAGTGCCAAATGAGATGGTGCATAGGTGTCATGTGTTTACCCTAAGCCATCTCAGATGACGCCTATGTGCTTTTGTGGGTCAATTTTTTTCTTTCAATTTTAAATAAAAGACAATAACCAAACAATTTTGCTTAATGAAAGTTTGATTTTCAATAACAATTGAACGATTACATAATGAGAATAACTGTTACACATTATTTAGTTGTCCCCCGGAACTCGATAACGACCCGTGGTTCCGCACCCAGGTCCTCGCTTAACTCGTGGTGCGTTTCGACAACTTTTCTGTTGCAGATGGATCGAGGGCCCAGCGAAGTCAATGCGTTCAAGATCCATGAAATTCTTCAGATCAGCATATCCGGAAGACCTGCTTTGAAACAGTCGGTTATCCATGCTCTCAAAGTTTGGTTGTATTTGTGGAGGATGGGGTTTCATGGGTGGTCGATAGCACTGGTCGTCTGAATAAGAGGGTAAAAAGAAAATGAATCTTATGGAGTTTGATACTGTGATTGTTGGGTGCTATGGTGATGTGATGATTGATGGTAAGTTGGGTTGATTGGGTCATATTCTTCAAGTAGGCCTAGATATGGACTAAGGTGAGAGGATGAGGGGCCCGCATCGGGATGTTGGATGTATGGTCTTTGTTCAGAGTATTGGAATTGTGAGTGGACATGTGGGTGTATTGGTATTGAGGTTGAGATTAGGTGCGGGGGCATATGGGTGTATTGGTATTGAGGTTGGGATTGGGTGTGGGGTATATGGGTGTATTGCTATTGAGGTGGTGATTGGGGTTGAGTGTTTGTGGATATGTATTGTCGTGGTGTTTGGTGAAAGATTGATGTGTATTGGGTTTGTTGGTGGGGATTTGAGGATTGTGCCCATTGTGTGCGTGGGTCAATCAAATACCCCGGGTCAAACATGTGCATTTCAGGGTTAGTAATCGATTTGTACCAATCAATATACTGATTTGTGTGTCGCATATTATTCTAGTTGAGGAAAACAAGGAATTGTAAGACATGTTGATGACGCCTATGCCACATCTTACACCATTCTGGAACAAAATATTTCCAATTATTAACACCCCATTGGGCGTCGACCCTTTTGAGATTGATGTCAGGGTGACAAAGAAGTTGGATCGCATGGTATTTCTTAATGCATTCCGAAATGCATCTTGACACAATTGTTATGGTGTATCTCCATAATGTTGAACTATATGATTGCAGTCTTTGCAGTCCAAACTGTTGCGTCCTCGGGGTTGGGTTCATGGTCCAAACCCAAATATGGTCTCTAGAAAAATAATGGATAAAAATTAATCAGAATAATGAAAATGTTAAAAATAAATAATTTAAAAGTAGAAAAATTTAGAGGTATCACGTACATCATCCGAGCCAAGGTGATCCAAAAGATTACAATATAGAGCGACATTGAATCTTGGATTCTTGCTGTAATTCATACCTTACACAGCACCTAAAGGAATGTAAAAAGATAATTAATTTTATATATCTATTTGGCGAAGAAATGAATAACAAATTATTTAAGCTATTGACTTATTTTGTTGCATGGGGGGAAAATGAATGCATTGTTGTTAAAGGGGTTTAGGTACTCCATTCTCCACCGTTGTACTCCAAAATTTGCCCTCCCATTTTTATTCAAAACATATTCCTAGAGGTTCTCAATTGCTCAAGTTGACTAAGGATTGACCAGACATATTCTCCTCCTAAGACAATGAGCTTCAAACAAGGGTTTCACTCCTCATCAAGATGTTTGAGTTCCAAGGGTCCTAAATGATTTCAATTGCACTAATATATTCTCAAGATCATCCATGCCAAGTTTCATGTCTTGCACAAGGAGTTTGCTCAGTCAACTGCTCAAATGCCTGAAAATCAACCGTGTTAGGTCAAAAGTCAATTGTGACCCTCATACAGTCAAACTTCAAGATTTTTGGTCATCATCAACATTTTGAAGTAATATCCATCATTTGATCAAAGGTTGATCATGATTCCTCAAGGAATGCCCCAAATTCATCAAAACTCAAAAGTTGCTAAATTAGGGTTTCTATAGGAAAAGTTAACCAAACTTTGACCAGGCATAACTTTCTCATACTTTATCAGAAATTTCTCAACCAAGGCTCATTTTGAAGATAATTCAATTACCTACAACTAATATTCATCCCTCAAGTTCAAAAAATTCACTCATGAAAAGATATAAGTTCAGACATTATAGGTCATTTCAAAAAGTCAACAAAAACACCTTTTGGGTCAAAGCTTCTTACATGAACATGGAAGATCCAATTGAGATGAAACGAAAAAGGCTACTTAGGGGACATCCTAAGCTTTTTAAAAAGTCAAAGAACACCCTCTTAGGGTTAAAATGGAGGGAGATATGTATTGTCAAAGTTGACTAATTTTTGGAAATGTGCATGAAGTCAACATTGATCAAAATGACTTTTTTTTTCTTCCAAATGGGCCTATGTTTTCTTGTTTGAAACTTGTTCCTAAGATGGCCCACGACCCCTGACCTTATCCACCTATTATTTTATTATTTTTATTATTTATTTTGATTTTTTATCCATTTAAATCAAAATATATCAATTTAAATAGTAGAATAATGAAATAAAATCCAAGATTTGATTTTATGAGCATATTATGAGTCAATGAATAGCTAGAAAATCATCCAAATCGTGCAAGAGCTAATTGATTGGAAAAGATCATAATTTGGCTTGTTTTAGAAACAAATAATGCAATGAACAAAATCAAATCAAATCTCAATAATGTGTGAAGATACAGTCCAATTTTGTTAACCTAAATCAGTCTCTTATATGTCCACAACATTCCGAGAGCAAGAGTACAAGGGTTGGTCATGTAAACTGCAAGAACAAAAACTCAATTTTTGGATAAAAAGTGAGAATCATATTTCGTTATACAGGGCGACTCAAAGTGTTTCAAGGCCAGCAATCCAATCTTGGCAACCTCCTGAAGCTAACAACATCACTTTCATGCATCAACACCTTCAGAACGCTCCATAACGGTATCATTGTTTGTCCTTCATTCTTGAATTTGATTTTGAATATTTACGCGTTATAAATTATTTCTAGACATCCATTCATGTTTGTATTATCATTTAGAAGTTGTTGGTATAGTTAATTATGAGTTTTGATGCTTGTATGGACATATGCCATTGTTAGGGTTTAGAGCCTCCTTTTGGGGCTTTTTGTTTCAAGTAAAATCAAGGCCAAAGATGGATACCATTGCATTCAGGAGATCAAACCTAATTGATCTGTGTAATTGGATTTCATTTATGTTGCCTAGATATGAATTTATAGGATTGCGAGTTTATAGCAATGGACGTGTCCGTAGGTACAACCCTGGGTCTAAAACGACAATTTCTTTGAAGAAGATGAAGGCCTGTCAAGGTGTGGGTGGACAGTTTGAATCTCGCGCATTTTTCCTATAACCTTAATTTACTATTCAATATATTATTTGTTGTGTGTTTATATTAACGAATGGGAAGCTAGTTCAGTGGTACAAGCGAAGGGTTTCAGGGCGTTTGTGTGTAGGAGGTCAGGGGTTCGATCCTTGCCTCCTACATTTTATTTTCCCTAATAATTGTTTGCAGATCATGTGCCTTAGGGTTCCAGCATGTCCTCCATGCATCTCCAGATGTCACCCATCAGATTACTACAAGGTCAGATCCAGCGCTCTGCAAGCATGTCCCCATGGTGGACCCTCAAGCATACTCAGTACTGGATCTCATGCAAGCAATTGGGCTTGTGCAAATCTGGGCTTAGCAAATTCATCTTCACACCTCCAGGACTGCTTTCACACCAAGCCCAATCCAATTTTTCTTTTTAATTTCTTTTATTTATTTTAATTATTTGTTTAATTATTTTTACAAAAAAACAAAATCATTTTTTTATTAAATCAAAAAATCACAAAAATATTAAAATAAGATTTTTCATAAAATATTTTATTTCATTAATTAATTAGATTAATTTAACTAGGGAAAATTAAATTCTTTTTCTTATAATTAAAATCAATTAGAAAATTAGGGTTAATTTGCAAATAGTTAAATTTCTCAATCAAAAAATAACAAAAAATATTTTCTTTGATTTCCTTTGATTTTAGACTTTGATTCTCGTATTTAATTCGTCACGCGCGCAATATTTTATTTTTAAGTCCAATTATTGTATTTGCTTCGAGTTTGTAATAGCCTTTAATTAGGGTTTATTTTACTGTTTATTATTTTACTGTTCAATCCCCAGTTTTTGGTTATGTAACCCCCTCCCCGAAGCCTTGTAATAGCGTATATTTACTTTTCTGCTTTTAATTTTTTGCAAC